GGATGTCAAGGTCACCTGAAGGTCAGGTCAGGTCATTGACCTTTGGTGACCTCGGTTCACTTTTTCGTGCTGTACATTAGGGTGGTTCGAAAAAATCGATTTTTGGAAAGTGCAGCCTACAACAAGTGGAAAAGTGGCCTCATACCTTTAGAACACCACATGCAAATTTTTAGTGCGATTGGAAAAGTGTCTACATGGGCGCTTTGCTGTTGAGCAAAGGTCTGCACTCACGTTTCAGGCGTTGCAGTCTCCCATAGTGGGGCGGGCCGGCGGGTTGTATCTAACACCAGGTGGTGCGGCAACTTCTGTTAAGTATGCTGGGAAACGTTTTCCGGGCCAGATTGGTGATTTATTGTTACATTACGACTAAATGGACGCATAATCATGCATTTATGGGAATTTTTAAAGTACAATTAATTATATGTAGTAAGCTTGCATTGTTGCTTAACAGTCAATAATAGTGGCTTCGCTGAGCAGCCATATGCTAGCAATCCTCCTGGGGTTGCTTGGTACAAGTATATTAATGCCCCTTAACGAGTAGACCATTAAGAAATTTAAAATTGTCCTCATTTGTAAAATTCTTATGAAGCATTTATCCATCGATAAACGGTGTTTGCGGGAGGAGATTTTCTCCCATTGTGCTCGCTGTTTTCATCACTCCTCGTCACACAAGGCAGCCGGCAGCCGCCCCGTGCCCTTCTCGCCGTCACATGCCCGACCTCCAGGCGGCTGCACGAGCCCGTCTTAGCCCATGCCAATACAAAATACAAGCTCACTGCATGTGCCAGAAAAAAAAAGGCAAGGTGCCTCCCGCTGAATGGAATTTTTTACGAGACCATAGAGGAAAAAGACAGCAGGTAATTGGAGCAATAGACGTGAAAGGGACACGAGCCATAGCTAGAAGGAGACAACGATCAGCAGGTCGGGACAAACCTGCTGATGCCAGTGGTAGCACAGCACAGGAGCTGCAGGATCACGCTGATATTAGCGTGGGTTCTGCACACCCAAGTCCTGCTGACTGTCAACGAGGCTGAAAATACGATATCAGGTACGACAGCGACGTCCTCCGGGCTCCGAATCGGTGCAGAGCCGAATCGTCATATCAAACTTCGCTCGAGAATGCGACCGGTACTAGCTCAGTGACGGAGCTGCTGCCGCACTGGGTTCTGCACTGATGACACGTCGAAATAGTTTCAGAGATGGACCAGTCACTGAACTCTAATATATACCAGTCGAGGGGGGGGGACCAGTCGAGCCTTATTACCAGGTCCAAGGTGAGGAGGTCTACATTAATAATAGTGTACAGACACCTAGAGAGAGAGAAAAAATACTGAAGGAGCAGCTCAATGGAAAGCTACGTATGTGGGTTTTGATGGTAAACGAGACATCACAAGTGATAGAGGAAACCGTCGAAGGTGGTGAAATTATTCAACCTAAAAACACTAAACGGGAAGACCATCCAGTACATATACGAGGCAGAGCCTGGCTGCACATATATCGACCACAGCACCCGCGACTCTGGCACCAGCAAGACTGTAGCGAGAAATGTGACTGACCGCATTCGAGAAACAGAATCTAAAGACACTCTGCAAGGTGTTCTAGCGGATGGAGCCAATGTGAACACTGCAGGCTGGAGAAACGGCGCAATAGTCGAAGTAAGAGGGACATTGAGATTAAAAACTTCCAGTGGCTGATATGCTTACCTAACGCGAATGAGCTGCCACTCAGACACTTGTTTACGGCAATGGACGGTGGCCATGGCACTACTGGACCAAAAACGTTAAAGTGTCCCCTGGGACAGAGGCTGTGCGGGGACGTCTACCAGCTCCCCGTGGTTGAGTATCAACCCATACCCACCTACGTCTAGCAACCGACCGGTGACGCACAGTCGGATCTCTCCGCCGATCAGCAGTTACTACTGAGCTATCGCCAGGAACTCGCCGCTGGGCGGATACCAGTCACCACTGCTCGAAGAAAGCCCAGACCAGTAAACTACTCCCGCTGGTTAACACTGGCCACCCGGCTGCTGATACTGTACACCCGAACAGACGAACCCAGCGAAAGCCTAGTACACCTGGTAAGGTATACACAAGTCTACGCGCCGATGTGGTTTGCCGTGAGGTCTAACCCGCGCTTTGAAAAGTTTGATTGAAGTTTGATTGATATTTATATACACTGTGGATTGAAGTTTGATATGACAATTCGGTTCTGCACCGATTCGGAGGACGTCGCTGTCGTACCTGATATCGTATTTTCAGCCTCGTTGACAGAGTCAGCAGGACTTGGGTGTGCAGCACCCACGCTAATATCAGCGTGCTCCTGCAGCTCCTGTGCTGTGCTACCACTGGCATCAGCAGGACTGTCCCGACCTGCAGATCGTCGTCTCCTTCTAGCTATGGCTCGTGTCCCTTTCACGTCTACTGCTCCAATCACCTGCTGTCTTTTTCCTCTTTAGTCTCGTAAAAAAATCCATTCAGCGGGAGGCACCTTGCCTTTTTCTGGCACATGCAGTGAGCTTGCATTTTGTATTGACATGGGCGACGACGGGCTCGTGCAGCCGCCTGGAGGTCGGGCATGTGACGGCGAGAAGGGCACGGGGCGGCTGCCGGCTGCCTTGTGTGACGAGGAGTGATGAAAACAGCGAGCACAATGGGAGAAAATCTCCTCCCGGAAACACCTTTTATCGAAGGATAAATAGTTTCATAAGAATTTTACAACTGAGGAAAATATCAAATTTCTTAATGGTCTACTCGTTTAGGGGCATTAATATACTTGTATCAAGCAACCCCAGGAGGATTGCTAGCATATGGCTCCTCAGCGAAGCCACTAGGTTGGTATTATTGACTGTTTACTATAGCAACAATGCAAGCTTACTACGTATAATTAATTGTGCTTTAAAAATTCCCATAAATGCATGATTATGCTTCCATTTAGTCGTAATGTAACAATAAATCACCAATCTGGCCCGGAAAACGTTTCCCAGCATACTTAACAGAAGTTGCCGCACCACCTGGTGTTAGATACAACCCGCCGGCCCGCCCCACTATGGGAGACTGCAACGCCTGAAACGTGAGTGCAGACCTTCGTTCAACAGCAAAGCGCCCATGTAGACACTTTTCCAATCGCACTAAAAATTTGCATGTGGTGTTCTAAAGGTATGAGGCCACTTTTGCACTTGTTGTAGGCTGCACTTTCCAAAAATCGATTTTCTCGAAACACCCTACTGTACATGTTTCTAGGCTAGTTTTTGGAGCTGAATTCGAATTTAGCGACCATTTGAACATTTACGAAGTAGTTTTGGTGCCTTCGTAACATGTTACGAAGCTGTCAGAGGCGGTTGACACGTACTACGAAATTCCGTCACGACCTCTACTGGTTGACCTGACCTGACCTGACCTGGTCTAAATGCATGAAGACATCAACTATGATCAAAACTAACACGATATTCGTGATCAGCACCCCGAAAAAAACCTTAGCAGCCACACTTTACGACTTTCTAACAGGTCCCGATTTTCCCGACTTTGGGTCATTGACCTGACCTGGAAGGTCAACCAATGACCAAGGACCTTAAAATTGGGTATCATCAGCTTCCTCTCGTCACGGGCAACACGCTCGTTTTTTTCGCGAAGCTCTAGCTCGATCAGGGGCCAAACGGCAAGGTGGGTCCAACCGACCCCCTACACATTAGAAGCTGGCAAACGCCGCACACATGCGAGGGATATCTTACATGAGCTACAAAGGCTCCTTAGACCTTGATCCTAGCCTGATTTTTTATTGAAACCCACCGAGATCTCAGACCCAGCTTTCGGATTTGGTATAATGCACATGGCTATGTGAAGTGGAATATAAGCTGATTTTCTCAAGATAAATTTGAATCATAGATAAAACTCACGATTCTTATTTTCATATGATCTGGGAATTATTTTTATGTACCTACCATATGAGAAGACTTGAAATTCAGGAAGTGCTCATTTACCGACAGAAGTAAACAATTAAATCTTCACAATAATATCTCAGATTTTCATAAGGGTCACCTGAGTTCAGGTCGGTCTCGTGAATTGACCAATATAAGGAAGCGGAGCAACTATAGAAACTGTATTTCGGCGCCTGAATAAATTAAACACTATCTGAAGCAAACGTTTTTGTAATTTTGTAAAGCTTTTGCATGATCCTGTATGCTTAGGATTTGTACTGTGGACCTCGCTTAACGTTATGTATGAGGTCTATTCGCGTTAGGTCATAGGAATTGTTCGTCAAGAAGTCATGAACATATTTGATTTTTTAATCGAAAAAGCGCACTAATATGTACATTCAGAATGAGCTGTGAACTCAAATGATATGCTGAAAAAATACCTCGATCAACTTCGTAACCTGAACGACTTTGAACTTACTTTGACATGAGGACGACAGCTTGTTGATCTTCCTCAAGTAATCCGTAAATCACTTACATATCATTCGACGCAGCTAAGTTTAAACAACTCAATGGCTGAAGCAATATGAACTTTTGGATCTTTTTGAGACAAAATTCATTCAACAAAAACCGAGATCCTATCTTGGGGCGATTGAACCGAGCTCAGAGGTCACCGGTTTACTTGAGATCTTGGGTCAAGTACTTACCAGTCTATGCGTTTTGTAACGGCAAACACTCATTTCTTTACCGCGAAGCACTTTGTAGCTTAATTTTGGGCGAAGTGTTTAAGAGGGTCGCACCCGCCTCCCTCTTAGCTAAAGCAAAATCGATAGCAAGGTCTGGTGAGGGTTAAATCTAATTGGAGTTAAGCTTGGTAGTTGATAAGTCACATCCGCCATTGCGTTGATTTGCAGCTAATTGCTACTTGCTACTTAGAAAAATATCTTAAATTGTTTCTCAGATTATAGCAAAACCTCATTCTAATCTACGGAATATCTTCAATGATAGTATCTTTGTTCCGGCTTGATAGCGATAGTTGTACGTTTTTAATGTTGTTCAATTAACAGTGCTGATCATTATGTTTTTTCAGACATGTCTGGCGAGTCATTGATGGTTGATGTCGGCAAATGTCGTCATCACTGCCATCATTCGAGCGGCATTTCCAAGAAGGATTTCCTGGAGCTTTTGTCAGACTATGAGGACATCGATCCAGTGGAGGTTCGTCCGCCCCCCGGGATTTCCACAGAGTCCGCCCACGTCCAAAACCGGCCGGCCAATGGGGCCGATATTTGCGTGTAGCTGCACACTGGCGCCGCGGTCCATGGGTGCCCTTGGGGGAATGGCAGCCGTGGCGCGACAGGCACCGGTCGCAGCCGGACTTTACCCGCACCGACAGTGATCTCATGTGACCGGAAACACCAATAATGAACGGTTTTATGGTCTGTTATTTCCAATTCTGAATTTCAAACGACGAAGCTGGGCCCCGTTGGCGGCTTTAAAATGACAGTAATGATTTACCTATACCTTGATTCGTGTCCAATCAGTGATGGTCTTCGGGAAAGCTTGTAGGTACACCAAAAATTTCGTTCTTTCCAGTGGAATAGAACAAGACATGCACGAGTGGTGTTCTTGTTTCTTGAAATGTATCGGGGAATTTCTTTATACCTCCGGCCCGTGATATCCGGGGGAACATCAACACAATTCCCAGACATCTAATCCAATCGATCCTTCCAGCAATAAGCATGGCGATATTTTTTCAGGCAGTCACTGCCTAAGGACGGTTGCATGGTACAGTGCTGCCTAGAGCAGTTGTTGAGTAAATACAATGGTGAAATATTGTCAAATGTCATCATGTCCACAATAGTGAAAACAACATTAATTAGTTGCCATCAAACAAATAAAGACAAAAAATATTCACTGGAAAATAGTTGGGTCGCTTTTAGGATTGTCCAACAATTTGTAGTTTGAAAGCCGTATTCTCTGTTGACCTTAATTAAAAGATTGTTGGTTATGTCGGTGCTTGATTTACTCAAACGTTGCCAAGTCTTGAGATCTAAAATGCAGTCAACGCATTTAGTAAAAAGCATGAATCTCATAAACAAGTGGATAAACAGATTCCTGAGGCGATTGATTTTTCCGTCACATTTGTTTCGTTTTTCTCTCCCTTCATGCCCGATTTCTTTAACCGTTACTATATATTTTGTTGTCCACATTCTACAGGTATTTCTGCGTCAGAGGGAGCGTCACGCCTCCTGTCGCGCCCCGAGCCGGTGTCGGCCGACTGAGGTCGTCCTGGAGCGTCACTACACACCCGGCGGGCCTGTGACCCGCGAGGTGACCCGACACTGCGGCTGCCGGCGCCCCCCGGCCACCTGCACCCGCCTGCCGCGACACGTCACCTTTCACCCGGGCAGCCCGCACCAGCAGATACTGGACATCGGCCGCTGCGCCGGGCCCTGCGCTCAGAAAGGTCAGTGGTGCATCAAGACAGCAGCTGAAGTGATGTTATTAACCACAAAAACAATGAATAAACATGCCCTGCTTCATGCTTGTTAGTTCATTTGTTCGAACATTCTGTGAACAGAAAGGTTCAGCCACCTGTCGTTGTTAGCAACTGGGAAATCCAACTATAACTTAGCGTGCAAACTTGGACATGATGTATACGATGTGTCTGTATCTGTTAACAATGTATCTGTTTCATATGTTTACGTATAGCCAGCCAGCTGAAGAACTTTCAACAGAAAATACGGGCTAGTTATTGAGAAGGTCCGTCAAAAGAAGTTGCATTCCAATGAAGAAAAAACGCACACAATACGCATCAGTCTTAACGTTTTTTTCTGTTTTCCCCTCATCATAGAAGCTTCAAAGCATTGCCTCTTTTTTCAGATGACAGCTGCCTTCCGCTGAAAAATAGGACAGTTTCGATCGACGGACCCAATGGTGAGTTTTACTGGGGCTTATAAGCTCTCTGTCTCTGTTGTTCCTCTATATATTGTCTGTCTATGGAAGCACATTATTTTCCGTCATAGAGCATAGCGTACCAGCATAACGCCTTTTGGGGCGATTAACGGAGCGAGCGAGAGGGTGGGTCTTGCACGTGCGAAATTGCGAGGGGTTACCTCCAACTGATTTGTGCACGGCACCCTACTAACCGGTCTCTAGCGGTGTGCCAAATTTGAGCACAATCGGCTCAGCCGTTCTCGAGATCTGGAAGCGGCACCCTGAACGTGCGCACGTGCAAAATGGGTCCCAACTGACTTGTGCACGGCATGGCCTACTAACTGCTTCGTAACCGTGTACCAAATTTGAGCGCAATCGGTCCAGCCGTTCTCGAGATCTGGAATCGACCCCTGCACGTGCGCACGTGCAGCAGCACCCCAACTCTGGCACATGGATATGCAGTGCCTAGTGGGTGTCTACCTACATGCCAACTTTCAGCGCAATCGGCCAAGTAGTTACCGAGATATTGCAACAATTACAAAACGGACACCTCTTCGTTTTGCACGTGGCACGTGCATAAGGGGTCACCCACATGCATCAGGAATAGTCCAATACTTTATAGAAGGAATGAAGCTACCCTACAAAAATTAGCGCGTGTAAATCGGTCAAGTGGTTGCTGAGATATAAGCCTCGCAAAAGCGTGACCACGGCCGGCCGGCCGGCCGTTCATACTCAGAAATTTCCGTTAATCTAAGGAAAGATTACGCTCGCTTCGCTCGCTCCGTAATAACCTTATTACAAAAACCTCATGTACTTTTCATAATATCGCTTGTGTACTTATAAGGGGTGAGACTAAATGCTTACTTCGAAATCTAAGCTGCGTTGCGGCATTGGCGGTTATGTGCGGCGTGTATGCCGCATGATTAGTAAGCGGCGACCACTAAATTAAAAACTCAATAGCTTTGACCTGTTTTCAATGGATAACACTGCATACCAAAAATGTCCATCGCTCTCGTCATAGGATATTTAGATTTAAATAACTAACTTATCTACATCATTGTTTTGAACCAAATTAATACTCAGCCGCGAACGTATAAGGTATAACCCCTTGCCGTTTCGCTCCCGATCAAGCTAGAGCTTCGCGGAAAAAACGAGCGTGTTGCCCGTGACGAGAGAAAGCCGATGATACCCAATTTTAAGGTCCTAGGTCATCAGTTGACCTTCCAGGTCAGGTCAATGACCCAAAAGGCGGGAAAATTGGGACCTGTTAGAACGTCGTAGTGTGGCTGCTATGGGGTTTTTTCGGGGTGCTGATCACGAATATCATGCTAGTTTTGATCACAGATGATGTCTTCATTCATTTAGGCCAGGTCGGATTAGGTCAGGTCAGGTCAACCAGTAGAGGTCCTGCCAGGTATTTGTAGTAGGTGTCAACCAAGCTACCTATAAGAAACAGGTAGATCCGATGTTTGAAAGTAAAGCCCCAGTCACACGATAGGCGTTATCACAAGTGTATTCGCGGCCATTGGGGCGACGTAAGAAAAGAAGAAACCAACTGGCCCCAAGAACTTTAAACTATCAGTTAGCATGCACCTTTTCCTAGATGTGTAGAGAATTTACCATTATTTGTTACAGAAAATTGCATTTAAAATCTTCCATTTATGCTTTTTTCATCGTTTGCACAATATGTTCTTTTACTAAGCTAGAAACACTTATTAGAAATAGTTCCCGCATCATCAAGAACAATAGGGAAGGCTTGAAGTGAATAAAATAATTTAAACGGTTTTGTAATCTATGTGAAGGCACTTCTAAAATTGCCTGTAGAAATATTGAAGGCAAAAGTTCAACTTTTTCACAAGACGGATGTCTATAAACCTATTTAACTTGTGACAACTCAGCCGGAATTTCGTCGCCTACAGCCCAGCTTTCCCTAGTGACCGATAGAGGCGCTGCTATCGATGTCCGCCCGTGCCGCCTAACGAAATTTGACGTACCTGTGACATTTCCTGACACCCACGTGACTATTGTATTATTTTTTGTGTTTTGCGATGTTTTGGCCTTATTTAAAGTACTGAAAGCTCAAAATGTATGATTACCTAATGTTGTTTAAAGCAGCATATTAATAATTATGTTTGTAAATTATCGATAAGCTGCTTATAGCAGGTCACGTGATTGCTACCAGATTATGTGCTCAGAAAGCATCTTTTCAACTTCGATTTTGAACAATTTTTACCTCCTTTGAGGCCAAATGATGGACGGTTTGAGGCACACGATGAAATGCTGAATCTATTGATGCCAAAATTTGTTCGTTTTTTTGCATTTTTAGACTAGTATATCCTGGCTCAAACTTTGACCAGTTTGTGTGTAAACCCTATGGTGAAGGGAAAACTTCACGCCCAGCAGGCGTCATTACAGTGCTGCCAAATCAAGTTTGGTGGGGGTCGGTGTCAACCGCCTCTGACAGCCTCGTAACATGTTACGAAGGCACCAAAACTACTTTGTAAACGTTCATGTGGTTGCTTAATTCGAATTCAGCTCGAAAAAACTGACCTAGAAACATGTCAAACTCGAAAAAGTGAACCGAGGTCACCAAAGGTCAATGACCTGACCTGACCTTCAGGTGACCTTGACACCCACCCTAATGCATGGGGGCAACATCATATCACATGTTTGAACGCTCGAAACCACGAAAAGACTGCAAACGCGCTGCTAATGCGAGCCGACATACGCTGAATCGCGGTTCCGGCCAAACATGGTCTCGAAAAGTAGGTCACAGGTCAAAGGTCATTTGGGTCAGGATCATGAAATTTTCAGGATGGGTGTTAAATTGATCAATGCGAGGGTACTGAAAGTTTCGTCGCGATCAGCCGCTTTTTAAGCGAGTTATTCGCGAAAAACCTTAGGGGGTTGCATCAACCCCCCCCCCCCCCCTGTGCGGGCGAGGTCATGTTTTGATAGCAAGACTGAAACATACTATTTTTGGGTAGCCAGGAAATCGCATGCCAGAGCCTATTCAAATTCTTTTATCGGCCTTTATATGCACCAGTCGCATACAGGTACGGGATTTAGCATACGATTTCCAGACAATCGAAAGACTGTTTGGAGACAACAAAGGAAGGAATGAGTGAGTTAAGTTGAAAGTATTAATTTGGTTCAAAATGATGATGTAGATAACCTTGTTATTTAAAGTCAAATATCTTATGACGAGAGCGGTTGGCATTTTTGGTATGCAGTGTTATTCATTGAGAACCGGTCGGAGCGTTTGAGTCTTTAATTTAGTGGTCGCCGCTTACTAATCATGCGGCATACACGCCGCACATAACCGCCAATGCCGCAACGTAGCTTAGATTTCGAAGTAAGCATTTAGTCCCACCCCTTATAAGAGATTTAGACCGTTCCAACTGCCTTGGCCGTTTTTTTTTTTACTCAGATTTTGACATTAATGTACAAATGAAGAGCATGACGGTTTCGACGACAGTTATCGGGCACACAGTTGGTCATGTTTGGTGCGATAAGGTCCAGTTGGAATGATTGTTAAAATTCTTACTAGTTTTCAAATTGGGCTGCATTTACGCGTTATTTTTAATCAGAAATTACTTTCGTTTAAAACATGGATAAATTGGCTGTAAAAGAAATTTAGTTAGAATGCTCAAGTTTAGTGCATTCGCCAGATAAGTCGTGAAACGACTCATATCAAGCAAAATCCAAAGGCTGAAATTTTGTATCTAACGTCTCATTTACAGGAGCTGAGGTCGTTTCCGTCATCGAGGAGTGCGTGTGCTCCCACGGCTGCTACAGAATGGTCATGCTGGAGGAGGTCTACGACTACTCGGAGCTAAACACGCCAAAAATCAAAGTACGGTTATGTACATACGAGGAATTTCAAGATGGTTCTAATGCTGCTTATTCTGCATGTCTTCGAGTGTTGTTTCTATTTTTTTCGCGGGTTTTGATGATCAATATAATGGCGCGCTAGGTACTTACAAACATAACTCCAGCGCAATTAAGTTCATGAAATCCTTGAGAACTTACAAGTGCATGCTATCACTCGATCACTTTCGGTTTATAACCAAACTACGCCGTTCGGCATATTTCGAACACGTAAAACTCCACGGCGACACGTACCGACAATGAGGCTCAGCAGACTAATGGTTTTTCTCCGTGCTATCGTCTCTCTTTCCTGAACTGGGCAGCAGTCGGGGCGCCGGTGCCTGATCGTCTGCAGATAGCAGATGTGTATGTCGGTCGTTTCCAGCCGCAGAACAATGAGCGACCAATGTGGCGCGCGCGGCGCCGGCTCTGTCGCCACCGCCGCCGCCGCCGCCGCCGCCGCTGTCGCCGGTAGTGGCGGCGACGGCGGTCGTCAGGCGCCAGCCGAGACTATGTGCGTCCCGGCGGCGCCAGACGACTCTGTCAACATTCGGTACTGTTCGTTTCAGACGATCGACGTCGGCCAATGCGTGGGAGCGTGCACCAAAGACCAGCACGACCGGGACTGCGTCTACAGGTCAGTCGGCGCCGCGGAGCGGCGGAGGGGGCGGCGGCGCCGCGGAGCGAGGGAGGGGGCGGCGGCGCCGCGACGGCGCGGCTCCCAGGGAACGCACAAGGGCCCACAAGGTCGCGGTCACCCGTGGTGTCTTAGACGCGTAAATACCGGCGAAACGGTGTCACCTACTCCTCGGCGCCAGCGCCACCTCAGCAGCCCCCCCCCCCCCCCCGCCGCCACCGCGCCGGAACGGGCTGGCAAGTCTGGTGTTAGCTTGTAGTGCAGCGGCGCAGTCTCCCAGTCTCCGGGATACTGTGCTGTTATGCGTTGCAGTTTCTCTCATTTGTTTTTCTTTCGGCTAAGTGCTCGATATGTTTCTGGCGACCTTTGACCGAGGAAATTCATCATGGCACTGCCTTTGTGTTTCCGGTTGTCACAAATGTTTGCTGAACAACTAGGAGCGGCCCATTATGACAATTACACAGTGAATGGCAGACGGAAGTTTCATAGGTGCGGCGGAGGTGCGGACCGCTGACATCGAATGGCTAAGCGGCGACTCGTGTCATTAGGAGAACGTCGAGTGACTTCCCCGGACAGACCTCACAGGAACGTCTCGTGGCAGTTCAAAAATTTGGTGCTTATAGTAATCACATCATTAGGTACTTTGAATCATGATAATATTTATATGGATGAATTTATCAGAGCAGAGAATGAGGTAACTTTGAAACAAAGCATTTTGCTTGTAGGTATCTCATTGGCGTTCTAAGCAAATGCCTACAATGAGCTCTTGACACACTTCTCAGCCTACAGAGAGTTGACCGTGCAGCTCGTAATTAGGAACTCCGTGTCCATTTTCGGTGGCGGCAACTGGGGCTGAGTCACCGGGTCTTGGCCACCGGGAACGCGGCCTTTTTTGGCGGTGATCCAGAAACGGAGCCGACCCAGAGCCTCTTATAGGCACCGGAGCCGATCACACAATAGCTCTATTTGAGCCACCCGAGGGCGACGCACTTGTAGCGGTCGTCAGGAGAGTGACGACACTCTGATTGCATTGTAGAGAAATGACGAGACCACATATAATTTTGGGTTATTCTACTTACATCCATTCAAAAGTAAAAAATAGATATGTGAACTTGTGAAATCATTAACAATAAAATAAATAAATACATAGTAAGCTGATTAATATGCTGTTCGCCTTCATGTTTGCTTACATCTTTTTTTTCTTTTTCAGTGATCAGTCATCTCCCAAGTGCCTGATGTCGTTGATGTTTCAAGTCCGCGGCTGCGTCGCCTCTGCAAGTGAGCAGCATTTCTACCGATCAGAGGATGGGACCGCTAAGTCCCTCGCCAGCATTACCGAATGTTCCTGTCATTAAAACTTTTGTCTCATATGCGCTTCTCAGCAACGTTTGATATCTGCGCCACATAATTAAATGGAGTTTGTAGGAAGACAGGTTTGATTTTTGAGCAAATTTTAAGATGTGCATAATGAAGGTAATGACTTGTATCGATTGGTATATGCGTAGATATGTTGCTAGACCCAAGTTAATGTACCATTCTTATTTTGTGGTGATGGAGTGATAAATGCTTTACGGTGCTTTCCTTGTGTAACAAAGCAAATATTTTGTCTCGCCTATTGTTCGTACCACGCGTACCTTCCGTCCATAAAGTAAGACATTGTTCTATTGGTTTCAGCCCATTTTGCGTGCTATAGATATGAATCTGATATAAGTATATGTACCGTCTGATCGGTTTTGTGCCAAATAAATATTCACCAATTTCTTTGACTTATTATTCTTAACCCGCGCCCCACTGGGGGGGGGGGCTATTCATAGCCCCCCTCAAGTTTTTCTGAAATAACTTCCAAACCACTTGACGTATCAACGCCAAACTTTCAGTACCTTCGGCTGCATCAATTTGACATCTTGTGTCAAAATTTGAACTTCGTAGCTACCATAGGTCGGCCGGAAATGACGTCAGAGTTGCGTCATGTTCGGCCGATTTCGACGCAAAACATTGAACCACGGCAATCGCTCCCAAGAGCTCAGTTATTAAGCTAGATCCAATTTCTTTGCATGAAAGGACTCAGAATTGACTGCGCTATCAAACCGCTACCTCGGATTTTCAAAATTTTGAATATTTCGAAAATTTTATATAATAATATTCAAAATTCATATTTTTATATTAAAAAAAAAATGACTTTTCGAAAAAAAAAACGGAATATATGTCACAGAACGCAAGCTTATGACTAACTCTAGCAAGTTTTAGCTAAATATCTTCAAAAATGGCCAAGGTATACGCATTATTGCAAAAAAATCACAAATATTATTTTTTCAAATCACCTTTTCAGTACGTATTTGACATCGTACACCAATATAAATAATACCATCGTGTTCCTGAGCTCAAACTGCATCCAATAGACACCTTTTTTGTTGAAAAATGTTAACTTCAAAATTTGACCTTTTTGGAACTGAAGTCTGAAAGTGACCTGACCTAAGCTAAATTCGACTCAAAATGACCTAGAATGACACAGACGACATCAAATTCGAGATCTATGGCCTAAATGGACCATAAAACATGTGTCACGTGACCGACACATGATATAATATTTCCGTGACCTGTGATGACCTGACCCTGACCTGAAAATCAAAGTACAAGTTTGGTACCCTCAAGGTATCTAGAGCATCTGTTCACGAGTGTGTAAACCAAAAATGAGCCTGATCTGACCTGTAAGACGGCGGGCAAGCCCAAAATGTGAACAAGCCGAAATGCTAATATTTTTTACTTTGACCTGACCTGTGACGTCATCGGTGACCTCAAGGTCAATGAAAGTAGGTTTCGTTCGACAGTTTTTCCGGGTCTATCAGACACCGTTTGAATTTTGACGATCGGCCCAGTAGTTTCGGAGTTAGGAGGGGGGGGGGGCTATGGAGAGCCCCCACCCCCACCCCCGCAGTAGGGCGTGTTATACGCAGACCCCAGTGGGGTGCGGGTTAATTTTTTGCGTCCAATGATTATCGAAATATGCACAAATACTGCAACATTTAGTGGGTATGTGTATGTAGCGCATATTTCACCACTCACGAAGTAGTTAGGATCTTTAAAAACAGAATGTGCGTCAAGGTGATACAAAATTTATATGATAAAACGCGACTTTCAGGCATGTCTAGCGGAGAGCACCGAGCTTAAGAGCATGATATGTGAAAATAGCTGCTTGGATCGCGATTTCACGTTGCATCAAAATGCGTGTAATCAATAAGCATGCACATAACTACACTTGACGTTAAGTAGTTGAATTCAAGACTTTACTTGCACGATACCTGCAAAGAAATGCAGCTACATCGAATCATTTTGAAGCAGCTCGAACTTTAAAACGTAAGGGAAGCAAAATTAGCACATGACATCAAAACCACAAATTGTCTGAGAAACAATTCACATTCCACAAGAATGTAGGACCTCCTCACTAGTTCTTGAAGCACATGCCACAACAGACATAACTCTAACGAGCTACTACAGGGTATTGTAGCAGGATTTAAAACGCCCGGTTCCGCGACATTCACTTTATTGAGCTTCAAGGATACATCCCACACCAAACTAACCAGTACTTCTCCACAAAATGTGTATTTTATGTGCCTCCTGGAATCCAGCACATACTTACGGTATTCCAAGAATTTCGGCTAAAATTTGGAAGGTACCCACGGGAGATAACGCACCAAAACAGGACTGAGCATGGGGACGCAATGAGTCACCGATCGCCACTGATAGGCTCCGATCTCCGAGGGATGAATCATCGTCGCACTCCGCAGGTCGACACGTATACGTCACTGGTGTGCGTTCAGTCCAGATATGGCAGCAGATTATGGCATATGTGAATGGGAAGAGAGGCGAAGAATGGCTCGGTTTTACGCCGCTGACGTCACTGGAAACTAAAGACGAAACGAGCGGACATTATCGGTGTGGTTTAGTAAAATCGCTGAAAAGTGAATGAAGCGAAATGCATATACTTTCGGTTTGGCAGTAAATCTTTGATTATGTAACTTCTAACTACTGCAGTGCAATAGAGACTTATTGCATAATGCACTGCATATAACATGCGCAAGAGAAAGGATCTGTATACTATCAACCCACACGCAGCTGCCGAGTGCCGATGCTCTTTTCACAATCAGACGAGTGATCTACACTGACGCTGATGCAGTGACAACGGCTCTTTTACGATCAGACTGCGTGATCTGCCAGTCCGCCGCTGCTGCGTTTATAATGTGACAGTAACAAATTGGCGTCAGTCAAGGCACCGCCGATAAGCCGCTATTACTGCCGACGCACGACCGATATATCATTCACACGGCACGCTTCAAACCTTACCCGACACGCCGGCGACACGATCCTTGGGTATTCCGGCCATGGGACGGTGGCAGGCTGTCTGGAAGCTGGGGGAGGGGGTCGGCGCGAGGAGCGTGACCGCACTGTTGGGTGACCGGACCTCGGCCACAGTGGGCCGTCGCTGACAGACGGCTCGATGACAGACGCCGTCCGGCTGCGCCGCTCAGATCCGGGACTCTGCGCCGATCACCGGCCGGCAGATGTAAATCCAGCCGGATATAGACGGCCGGGAATCCTCCAAAGTGTCAGTTCTGTCTTCCAAAGTGTCCAATCACTGCACCATCGGACTGCTGTTCTGCATCGCGTAAGGAGTCCGCCAGCACCTGGTCTGTTCCAGAGACCAGCCGTCTACAGGGAATCGACTATGCTCTCGTGTCAGCTGGAAAGCTAAGTGTTCTGTGAAGCAGGGCTTTTGCTGGAAAGTCACGGATTTCATTGGACCTTTCCAAAGGCAGATAACACTCGGTTGCCGGTTAGTGTTGACGAAAGCCGAAAATAATTTCGTAGTCCTATAGGTGAGGTATCGTAGCAGTATGGAGACCGATAATGCGGGTGCTAATCATGAGAGCGATAGAAACCCAACTAACTCGAGCTCCCTCCGATTGACGATATCACCGTTTGCGACAGCGTTGCACGGTTCGGGATCCGCTCAGATGCTCGCTGATTGGTATCAGCGTCCTCTGGCGGGATAGGTGCCTAGTATCAGCGTCATCTACCGGATGCCCTGAGAGCCATCTCCCTCATCAGCGAAATCAGCCGAACCGGACTGCCGGCCAGCTGCCGGCATTTCCACCGCTACCGCCCACGGCTCTCTGCGCCCACGCATCTGACAGCTAAACTAGTGATGTTCCGGGGCCGCATGAGCTCAGATAACGTCGCCGAGATTTCTAAAAAGACTGCCATTCATCATGCATGTAAATGATTATTGATGACGTCGATTGATTGTGTCAACATTCCCACCGATTGACACCAATCCAGAGAAGCAGTCAGCTGAGTTGGATGGATGATTGATGAGCTCTTGCATCGCCAGCTGTCAGCTCATTGTGTGGGTGGCAGTTAGGGCATAAGCAAGAGGATAATGTGGCAGAAGTGTGCTGACATCATAGTTGACACGGCATGACCCATTCTTGGAGAGTGGATGAATTGGCTTTAGACAGGTGTTCAGGTGCTTGAGATGGCGTTCTTAAGTCAATGTTCTTGCGCTTTGTGAGCGCATTTTTACTGCGCTTTGCAAAAAAAAAACGGTTGGGCATCGCTGGCTGATGATGATGATAATAATGTTGGTAATAACTATGTAGGGATTCCAAGAAAATCGAAAGTTCACAGTAATCCGTCGGCCGTCGGTACCTATTCGCTGGTTGAGTTTTGTCTATTTATTATTTCTTTGAAGCACCCTATGACTTCAATCACAACAGGCGAAATGGCACAACCAGGCACAACCTGCAGGGATTCACAATATAGACTGTGACAACTGTCGGTGTTTTGAGCGGGGCATGCTACACTGCTACAGCGGCGGGCGACGGCACTTCTATCAGTACATTACATTAAAAATTAGCGGCGTGGCGTATGGCGGCACTTCTGTCAAAGTCAGTAACATCAAAAATCGGCAGGGGCGGACGGTGGTAGTGTTGTTAAAGACGAGTACAGCAACAATGGCTTGTAAGCCCACATTTCCATCAAAGTTAGATCATGTTATTACGTGAACTCACGCCATCGTCACACGTAACTTACAATGAACGGAACTTGAGGAATACCTACAATCAGTGCTTTACGCTATCGTGTCACTGTAACAGCGTCTCAGTGCCATCAATAAAGCTTGATTGCCATTTCATGAGTTAATTCAAAGCTGTGTATGAGCACTCAAAGCAATTGATGGGTATCGATAACGTTTAAAGTCCTCGTATCGCATGACAGCCGTCGAAGATACAACGGCAGGAATGACGGCAAAACAGAAAAGATACGGAAAGCGGGGAACACCGCGCATTGGGGAGACCCTCGAATTTTCGTCTGTAGACACCGCACGGATACACGATGAAAATTCCCCTTTGTGGTGGTTTATTGGTGCATGTGCATGTCAGCGGCGCTCCTTCGCTCCTCGATAATCGTGTCTTTGCATTGGTATTGAAAAGTTTATACAGGCACAATGAAAAATATAGTTAGGGCTTCTATCCAAGATACCTAAGATTGTATATAGGCAAAAAAAGATTCAAGCACTGATTTTGAATTTGGTGTTAACCCACGCCCTGGTGGGGGGTCCTGGATTTCCACGCCCTGCTCGGGGGGGGGGTGATCATCCCCCTAACTCGGCTCCTGGGCCACGTAGCGATATGCGATAGGCGGCGTTTGAGAGAGCACCAAAAATAATGAAGAGCACACTCGGTCAAATGTTTAGTCAGATCAGCAG